TAATTAGTGACAGAACGAGAGGGAACGGCTTCAAGCTCCAACAGGGGAGGTTTAGATTGAACATTAGGAAGGAATTTTTCACTGAAAGAGTGGTCGGGCATTGGAACAGGCTGCCCAGGGAGGGGGTGGAGTCACCATCCCTGGCTGTGTTCAAGGGCCGTTTAGATGCAGTGCTGAGGGACATGGTGTAGGGGAGGACTTTGTAGAGTAGGGGAGATGGTTGGACTCAATGATCCCAAGGGTCTCTTCCAACCTCAATGATTCTATGATTCTATGTATGAACGAGAGGCCTAATAGGAAGTTATTCAGTTCAATTGCTGACAGCGCAATTGCACTCATTTACCCTGGGAGACAAAACAAGAAAGCAGGGGAAAACAAGCAGGATACAATATTCCTGAAGATCTACTTTGTCTTAAGCGTAACTCAATCAGCTTCATACTCACACCAAACCTTCCAGAATTACACATCATTTTGATGTAACGTAGGCCTGTGACCTTTAAGAGCTTCCATTCCAGAAAGCTATTTGTTTATGAAGGACCAAGATTGCTTACGCTCACATATTTTTAGAATTTTAGGACAACTTGATTTTTGATAAGAGTTCTTTTATAAGAATTGGGAGAGCTCGCAAACTCTAAGAGTCTCATCTCAAGTTTAAAGCACACACATTCTTGCTTCCCAGCTAGAGAAAGCCAGAGGATCCCAGAGGAGAACACTTTCAGTCTCCAGAGCAGGCAGCATTGCAGTCTTTCCATACCAGCACCAACAAGTCCATCAAATCCTTTTCAAATGTGGAAGGCTATCAGGTGTATGCCTCATGAGGCGGAGAAACAGAACAAGAAAAAGGGAATAGTCCCTTACCTGAAAGCCTTTTTCCTCTCCCTCCATACCACTATCAATAAACTAGCCAAAGCTACAATAAATGAAAGGAGTTTTTAGGAGGAAAAAAAAATTCCAAAGTCTCCAAAAAGGCCTGAGAAAAGCTTACATTGCATCACACTCTCTTCAGGTCACACAAATACAAAGCTCTAGCTGTGGCATTTTGTACGTGACTCCAAGAAAGCACTCCAACCACTGCTGCCAGCTGACAGAAAGAGACACCAGTCACACACAGAACACTGTCAGAGCAGGAGACAGAACTTGTTTTGGGAGAGCAAACAGGCCAGATTCCTGGCTTTGCTCCTGAAGCTCTCTTTTAACTAGGAAAAAGTTTATGCTTCCCTGTACCTGACTTCACGACTGCAAAGCTGCAATGCCTCGAGACAGCAGGATGAGAAAACGTACTGCAGATCAGGGCTCATTAGCTTTGCAATGCATTAGGTAAGTTAATGAACAAAATGCAATCAATTTACTCTTGTACAACACCCCACCCACTCTGAATCTGTTAAGAGTCAAAAAAACATTGCTTTATGAAGTTCACACCTAAAAAGACTCATTTTTAATCTTCCAATACTCTAACACTAGCATCAGGCTACTCAGATGTCAGAGGTAACTACACACAAATATCATTAGGACATAATATTGTACCCCACAGCACAAGGAAGATTTCTTACATGACATGATTTTATTCCCTTATAGAGACTCCCTAGAGATTTTAGGAATTGCACACGTTTTTACTCAAAAGACTTAGCAGACACAACATTTTGGTTTGCTGACCTGATCTCTGGTAAGAAGGTTTTCTTGTAAGCATCCTCGATGTTCTGGAGATATGAAGGAGACACCTTTTTCTCATATGGCTAAAACCAAACAGAAAACAATGTTGTCATCTGCCAAGAGCTCCTTCTTGCATTAGCAGTCAAACATCCGAGTGAACCGCACACACATTAATGAAAGTTTCAACAATTAAGACATTTGGAATGTTCAGAATTTCTTACATGGCATTAAATAACTACAGCACTCAAAGGAACAAGTCAGTCTACATTAATCAACTGCTTTGCCCTGTACTATTGTGTCCATGGTTTTAATAATTGGCCATGAGCAAGATCCTTGTGATATGCTAGGGAATCTAGAAAGAAAGGGAAAGGGAGGTTAAACAGAAGAATGTAAAGGGAAAAAAAAAACTTTCTTCCAATTTATCTCAGTTTGTTACAGGAATCACCTAATTTTCCCTGAGTTTGCATAAACTTAAGAGACCCATACCTCAACAGCCTCAAAAAGATTAGCATTCCAAGGACTGATCAATCCTAGCTACCTGCACATTCAAGGGAGTTATATAAAATCATCCAGAAAATGGGAGGAGGTTGCCTGAGTCTGCCATTTCAACCAGGGGGCCAATGTGCATCCGTTTCCATAGTTTCAGACAAGGGCATGAGTAACTATACACTCCAACCATCCCCTCCAAAACCTTTCTTTGAAATGTCATGGAGATCATACCTGCTGTTAAACAGTTCATCTTCCACATTGTCTACTTTAATGTCACATTTCCAAAATCCCAGGAATTTCTCTAATCTACCCGGTGTTCCTTCAATTCAATCTTAAAATTAAATTACATTTCCTGCTTGAAATGTTCATCCAAGATGCCCATTACATTGGAAGAATCTGTCTCTCTGCTTGTTGGGCCCACCTAGAGCTTTTCATTTTCCAGTGCCCCCCAGCTCACTGAAATACCAATGAAACACTCCATCCACCAACAAGGCAGAATTCCCCAAAATACTACCTCCAAACAAGCACTAGTGTTCAGCAGTGCCATTGCCCCAAGGAAGTTGCCCCAAAGTTGCACCAAATATCATAGAAGGGGGAAGAAAAACCCCAAACCAAAAAATCTTATTTCGATTAGGAAATATATGAAAATACCCTATAGCTTTTCTGGTACAAGAATATTTCAGTAACCCAGTAATCCAACACAACTAGAGAGGTAATTTGAAGAAAATACTATAGAATTAAGTTAAATGTATTGTCTTTATAACAGTAGTCTCCATTCAATACCATGACTTTAAAAAAAATGACATCTTGGAGAGAAATTATGCCACCCTCAAAGGGTTTTGAGAGCAAAAGTAAGAATGTCAAAGATGAACAATAATTAAGAGTTACTTATCATGATCTCAGACTAGATTGAAGTTGCACCAGTGACAAGAAGCAACTGTATTTCTTATCAACTTTATAATAGATTAGACAGAAAGCACCTTAGCTTTTCTATACCATGTTTAAGTTTAAAATTGGTGGGTCTGCTACATTAACACCAAAGCACCGAGCTATACCATGTTTAAGTTTAAAATTGGTGGGTTTGCTACATTAACACAAAAGCACAAAAGTAATTTTCTTAATTTCAGAAAGTTACTGAACTTGCTGATCACAAGTGACCCACACATTAACATCAACACAGATGTGAAACAGCAGTCAACTGGGGGAGCAGGAGAAGGGGACAGCCAGGTGGGGTTTCTGGCACCCAAGAAGCACAGAATCTTAAGAGTGTGCCACAAGGAGCATATTACCCAGACACGACTCCTGAAAAAAGAACTACAAAGACTGTATTTTAAGGACAGATGATTTTTACAGAGCTTTACAGAGAAGCTTTTCAGAAGCAGAATTCTTCTGCAAGCCCCCCCAGGATTCACAGGGCTGCAGCAGACATTGACTGGCAGTAACAATGGCAAGAGATAAAATTACCTCGCCTTTCTCTTGAATCCTCTTCTGCACCTCTGGGACGGGTACATCGATATAAATGACCAGGTGAGGTTGCAGGAATTCACAAATGCTGACCTCTTTAATCTCCTTGTAGTGATCAACACCTGAATAAAAAAACCAAAACCAAGCTCACTAGAAAGCCCAGGGGAGCCCTGCTGAACGCATACACGTGTTCCAAACGAGGACAAGTACAACAGGAACAGCATTAAAATTATAAATTGTCAAGTAATGAATTTGCAATCATTTATTTAAGTATTTTTTCCTTCATTTGGTAAAGACATTCTGTTTAAAAATAAATCATACCCCCCACATTTGTATTTATAGTCTCCTCTTCTTGGATGATGTAGCAAGTTTAGGTAAGGCTTTTCCTCAAATAGGATTCAAGAAGTTTTTAGAATTAACAATATTCCAGAAACAGAAAGCAAAACACAATTAAACTAAGATTCTTATATCTCAGTGCATGTAGCTTCTATTACCAGTTAAATCAAAGGGGGGATTTCTTTCTGACTTAAGTCAGCCTGTCAAAATACTACAGACCACTGCCTGGGGCTGCCTTCTGCCACAGCCTCCTACACGAAATAAACTGCCCCATCCTACCACAAAGCTCACGGGGTGGCAAAGGTGGCAATGGAAAAAAGTTCCATGCTTCAAGAAGACTTTGCAAGAAGTCCTTTATTTCCCACCATGGGGGAAACCCAAGGACCACAGAATCACAGAATCTTCTAGGTTGGAAGGGACCTTAAAGATCATCTTGTCCAACCGTCAACCTGACTGACAAAAATAGACACCCACACAACAAACAAGAAGCATCATCACTAAACCAGACCTCCCAGCACTACATCAACCCGGCTTTTGAACACCTCCAGGGATGGGGCCTCAACCACCTCCCTGGGCAGCCCATTCCAATGCCTGAGAACCCTTTCCGTGAAAAAATTTTTCCTAATATCCAGCCTGAACCTCCCCTGGGGCAACTTGAAGCCATCTCCTCTTGTCCTGTTGCCTGTGACTTGAGAAAAGAGACCGACCCCCATCTCTCTACACCCTCCTTTCAGGGAGTTGGAGAGAGCAAGAAGGTCTCCC